AGGCTCCACATTGCTGAGCAGACATCAGTGAGCTTAAATTCGGAGGCATGTCAAGCATCGCAGGTATTAGGATGAAATCTCTCATTATCTTACTTTACAACATAATATGAGAGCACCACAGCAGGAATGGGGGGAGGGGGGGGTGCAGGGAGCAGGGGCCTCGTAGTCACTAATGGCAACCAAAGTGAGTCCTCAGTAGTCACCTTCAATTCTTTTATTAGACCAGGAAAAACAACTCTAAACAGTAACTGGATCAAGTCTGTCGTTTGCAGCCTCTGATTGGCTATAGAGACTTAGAAGTGGCTAAAATGAGCACCACTATGATCACATGGGGTCAAAAGGATGACATGAATAGCAGAGCCTATAGTGAACAAAGAAGAAGCGAGCCTCTGAAGAGAATACTCCAAATCTGTGGCTGTCAAAAAGCCACGAGGAATTCAGAGGCCAACAAAAGCCTATTTATCTAACTCTATCAGGGAAAGTGGACAGCTTGAGCGCAGTAGCCTTGACAGCAGTGGGATTCCCTTGTCATTTCCCAAGGTCCACATACACACACACACAGACGCATGTAAGATGATTATTCAGTACTGCTTGTCAATTGTACCTTTTCAACCCGGATCAATGAGTCGTCTTGCACCAGGGGCCTGTATCAGCGCCAGTCATTAACATGTGAGTGCCACTCTATCAGCTCCAGCTCCAAATAAATCAAAGGGTCGGCCACAGAAGAAAAGGGGCTAATATTTCCTCAATAACCCCAGAGAGACACCATGGAGAGATGCAAATTGCCTCCCAGGAGACCCCGGGGGATGTGAAGGAGGAACTCGCTGGGAGGCAACGGGAAGCTAATGAGTATAATGGTAAATGTATACAAGGAGAGGGAGAAAAACCTCTCTATTCATACCAATTAATACAATCTTATCAATGGAGGTGTACTGTAGAAGGAGGGCCCATGTCTCACCCCATGCCCTCCTCCCCACTTCCACCTCGGAAGCATCTGTATTATTCAACATGGGCCAGGCTACGGTCATTAGCCCTGTGGGAGACTGGGCCAGGCCTGGGGAGTTAAGGAGATTTTAAAAACCTCTCACTCCTCACATCAAAACAAATCGGGCCAAATCAAAGGGGCTCAAAAATGTCCTTTCTTGAAGGGGTGAGGGAGGGAATTGCCATTGTTGTGAAAGCCTGCTTTCTGCAGCGTGGATGTACAAACGCACAAAAAGCTAGCATTAGATAAGTAGCTTCATCAATCATGGTGCATTTAGGAAAAAAGGATTACTGATGATTATAATGCTGGGACATAAAATAATATACATTTAAACCGTAACAGTGTTAAATATCTTTGCATAATAACTATTAAATGATGGCATCAATACATTTAATTAATTAAATGCTGCTTAACAACTGTGACATCTGAGATTTCATAATTTCTTTCTACATGATTAGCAGATTAACACTTAAAAGAACAGTAGGTTCACTGAAAATGAAAACAGTATTTCATTGCGGCTGCTGACACCATGCCGGAAACCTAATGAAATAAAACAAACCCAACATGTTCAAACATGTATTGTGAAAATCCTCAGTCCCCAAAAACTTATTTTTCTCAAACGAGTGAAAAAGTCTGTTAATGGGGGTAAAATTATTTAAAAAATAATACTAATTATCTCACCCCACTGGCAGATTTTTTTTGCAGTGCCTAAACACACTTTTAGTTTCTTGTATCTAATAAACATGGCCCTCTATTTAAATCAAGCCACTAAACAGCATTGACACAGCAAGCTAATAATACATGAATTGGATTTTTTGGGGTTGATGTTCCCCTTAAACTACAAACCTATGAAGGCCATCACACAGAAAACTTTTTTTCTTGCAGTTGTTTCACTCTTTACATTTGTTAAAGCATTGTTGTAATACAGTATATCCAGTGCACCAAAACCTCCTCCAATACCAAAAATCACCAACAGATGGCACCTGTAGCCATCGAAAATACAAAAAATTTAAACACTTATGTGGAAAACAAGTTTCCCAACACTTTTCTCCCACTTTGGGCCCACTTTTCCCACCCACACCAAAAATTGCTTCCTTGCACCACTAGAGTTCAAAAACTAGGGGACCTTTAAGTTACCTCTGAATCAATAAGGCCATGGTATGTAGTTTAAGGAAGCATTTGAACTACCTGAAAGAGCAAACAAATGCTTCAAAAGCATAAGAAGAGGGAATGCCTCGATGTATCATTCTGAAGGTCATTTATCAAGGTTGAGAAATATATCTTATGGCAGCTGATTGGAGGAGGATTTGCCTCCCAGAGATCACCAAGGGGACTGAAATGAAGGTTAATCACTATATAACTTTCTACATGTATAATCCTATACTCCAGATTTCATTGAGCATAGCTGTAAAAGCCCTCCGTCAGCATAATTGCACCTAACCTGTGCCCCGCGTGCTCAAATCTCTAAAATATCACATCCAGCTCTGAGAATAAGTGGGAAATTAATGAGGAAAGTGCTGAGCTCAACCTTAGATAGGTATCACAGAAAGGGTTAGCCGCCTCACAGCTCATGTACAATAGAAGCCTGCTAATCCAAACTCTCAAAGACAGAGGTTGTTTGGACTTGTGAAATGTTCTGTGGGATAAATACAAGACCATACTGATTTGACTTTGGTGCATCTGGAACAGACCTAAAATATACCAAAAATGAAACGGCGAGTATTTTTAAAGTAGACTGGTTAATTAGATTTAGTACTATAATTAGAACTATAATTACCTTGGATACAAATAATGGAAGTGCATTAGATTGATTAAAAAAAAAAAAGCCATAAATGACTTGCACTATCATATTATTATTATAATATATCAGTATAGTCTTTAGTCATACCTGCATGTACTTTTGATCTTTTTAATATGGATTTTTCCTATTAAGTTTTTTAAACAATAAGCTATTATTTGTGTCCATCCATTAATCTTCTTTTCATCTCATCTATTCAATTTAACACAGACCACATTAACTGATGCTGCTTTTCAATGTATCATCCCTCTGAGCGAGAAGTGAGAGTATCAGTGATCATATTCTGCCCCTTAGTGGAGGAAATGGTCCATAACCTGAGTGAAACAGCATAATAGGAGGCCTGATCTGCAGTGCCTGAGCAGCAGGCTGGATTGTGGACATCTGCAGCTCGTGACTTAGTGCTTCATTCAGCCTTTGATGGACCAAAGCAACCTCACCTGCCAGTCCCTTAGATTTAAGTAGCTACAATCTGTCTCTCCTTTAAACAAATTCCTCTCCAAGAAGAAGTCACTCCCATGGCTCTCTAAAAGCAGAGTGCCACTCAATTTGCATGTAAATTTAGGTTTGTGAACATGAATAATATTCCAAACTAGAAACTATAAAGATTGGGAATCAAAGTTTGGATGTTGTCATGACATAAACTGGCTTCAAAAGCTGCTTGTTTGCGGGTTTTTATATAATCAGGCTGCATCATATGTCAGAGAATCAGAACCAGAGGCTGAACCCTCATCCCTGGAAATTCATCCATAATATGCTTCTGCAAATCCCTCTCCGTAAAGCTGCCGTCACAAATTAAGGAGCATCGTATCTCCATACGGTTTGCTACAGCAGCAGTGAATGTTCACTAATACAAATGTAAGCAGGAAAAAGCCAAATATGAGAGCTGAAATTACAGTATAAGGGTTAAAATTAAATGTAATTGCACGTTCATGTGTAAAACCAATGAAATATCTAAAAAAAATCTATTTGTTCAAATCCTACTAGTGGTTAAGTGTATTAGAACTTGGTGCTTGAAACCTGATCCTCCCTCATACAACACCTGGATTCAAAAAGCATGAGGACTTTTATGAGCTGGAGCAAATAACATAAGGCTCCGAAAGCCCAAATGTATGAGGAGGTGAGGTCCTATAGTGCATTAAGATTACCCAAGCCATTCCATACTCTCTCAAACTGCATGACATACATTTCAAAGTACATTCATGGTTCTGAATTTATTTGGTTTCTTCATATTTGAATGTATTTGTAGCTACGCAAATATGAAAACATCTCAATACTGGATACATCTATTTAGATTACACTGCACTGTATAAGAGGCTGAAATCAAAAAACCCAGCTGTAATTACTTATTATTTTCATTATTAATTAATCTGATTTTTTTGATTACTCAATTAACTGTCTGGTCTGTAAAGTGTTACAAAAAGTAAAGGATTGGATGACAAGGTGACATCTTCACATTGCTTATTTAGTCCAACAAACAGTCTAAAACCAACCAATATACAATTTCAACATATAGTTAATCAACAATAGTAGCTCACACCATTAGAAAATTAAACAAAGACTAGAGTATTGTAAACACCAGTTGTGTGTCAGTGATTCTGTTTCACACTGGAAAATAATCAACAGCCAGCCTGTCACTCCCTACAACCTGCCAAGCGTAGGAGTGGAAGCACTGACACATGTAACTGACATCTCAGATTTAATTTGACTGGTAATCACACCCTGCTATAGTTTCAGAGCATTTCACACATCTGAGCTACAGTTTCAGGTGTTAAGCCGGTAAGGAGATATACAACTGTGCCTCTGAATGATAACACCTCTTCAGAGACGGTCACATTTTAGGTTTATGCTCTGCCTTTGGGATTATGATAATGATAATACTAACAAGACAAACATTAGATTCCACACAACACACACACTGTCTTGCTATTCCATTAAAATACAATCAACACTCATTTCGAGCTCAGCTTTACCCGCTCAAATACCTTCATTTCAGTTCAGTGGCTATTTGAAACTAATTACAAGCGTGTGTCGCTTCACGGCAGGTCACCTTGTTGTGATTCTTGTCTGAATCATAAATCATGAGCTGATAATATCACTTCTAATAAGATGCAATATTCTACTAATACCACCTGTGTTTGTCAAATTTGAGAAAGTGGATCTCCATAATCATGCAGAATGTTTAACAAAATAAAACAGAGCCAGTCAATATGTAGTTACCAGTCTATGTTGAAGCACTGATTCCACCACATGGCTCTTACACACCTGTAACAGAGAGACAAATAACAAATGTTCTTTAACTTTGTTAATAATGAAGCTTTGATTTTCTTTACAAAAACATTTCAGGTTCAGTACGATTTCGTGATTACATCTGACACACCCTGCCTCGGGGAATCTGTCCCTTTCAGACTCTGTTTTACGATCCATAACTGAAAGCTGAGGACATTATTTCTTGAAAAATACATCCACACAAGAACACAAAGGAAATATGAAGTCAGATTAGTGCTATAATGATGAGTTGATTAATCAATTTAGGAAATTAACATTTGTAATTGTTTGGGGTCCAATAGGCCCCACCTGTTGTATGTGTAAAAATAATAGTTTTGAGAAAATCAACCAACTTCCTCCATATTCAATATTTTTCTTATTTTTATTTAAATAATTTTAAGAAAACTTTAATAAAAAAGTGTCTATTAAAGTAAAAGTGACAAAATATGGAAATGACCATAAAGCATTGTATTACTGTGAAAACATATTTTAAAAAAATACATATTTCCCTTTTGTTTGCCAAGAAGTCATTGATAGACAAATAAATCCTGTCCTCCATAGTGACAATAAATATTTCTGGAGCTACTTACCTCTAAAGAGGTCGAACTCCCTGTTAGACGTATTCTGAACAAATATAAAACTCCAATAACAGAAATCCAAACAGAGTTATGCAGAGGAAGGGTAGTGCTGCGTTTATAATACTTTCTAAAATCAGTTGTATTTTAATCCTATATTGCAGCTAAAGTCTCTGAGACCCCAGCCAAAGTATTAACATAATTTTCTGTAGTCACAATTCTTCATATATCAAGCACAAATGTAAAAAAAAAAAAAAAAAAAAAAAAACATTGCTGGTTCCAGCTTCTCAAATGTGAGGATCTGCTGCTTTACTCTGCTTTATATAAATTGTTTATTTAATATCTTTGAATTTGGAATGTTGGTCAGACAAAACAAGTAATCTGAAGATGTCCCCTTAGGCTAATTTTTCACTTCTGAAAACATAATCAACAGATACAATAATAATTAGTCCCAGCCCTTGTCATACTGCCACAGTGCTGTATGTTACAGCAGCAGTATAATTTGTTAGCCGAAATAGTAAGCACCATCATAAAAGTTGTAAGGGACAGCCAATAATGTTTCCTGCTTATTCATTAACTTAAACCTCAATATGAACATCAAAAACAGAAATGTACCTTAAGGTTTAAAATGTAAATATTTTGGAAACTACAGCTGAAATTACTTGTCAATTAATCACTTACTCAGTCAACAAAAACATTATCCACAACTATTATGATAATTTTACGGCATATTATAAACAAAAATTGTCTGGTTCCAGCTTCTCATACGTGTGGATTTGCTGCATTTCTCTGTCTTAAGCATAAACTGGCTTTTGGACTGTTGTTCGAACAAACATTTACTGACATTATCTTGGCCTATGGGAAATTGTGACTGACATGTTTCACTATTTCCCGACAATTTAGCCCAATAATGCAAATTATATTTGCTTGAAGCTCTACTGGGAACCGGCATTTATATATTCATGTTCATCACCAACAGAAACAGCTTGAGTTATTAATTTCATGCAGATGATTTAATGAGTCAAATGTCAATGTGATTCAATGAAAACATGCCGTCCTTATTTCCTCACCTCTGTTATATTTCTGCAGACCTCAATGTTCTTGGTAGATCCACCTGATTACTAAAATATCTCATCTCTGCAGCTGTTCCTCAGCTGAGTTGCTAATTCAGGCCAGTGTACTTCCATTTAAGTAGTCCCAGGAGTCTTCATTTATAGCTGTGTAAGCAGCCATCCAGGCCAACCGAGAACACATAACTGTTTGCTATGCTGAGCATTCAGGGACTTCAGGCATCTTGGTTAAAATATTTGACCTTGTCAAGTGACATATAATCAATTTGTGGATAACATGCCTCAACCAACTGATTTATTTAGTCGAGTAGTTGACTCTTTTACTCTCTGTGGTATAATGCAGGAAAACCTACACTAGGCTGTTAATCTGCCACTGACTTCCTCCTATAGCTATGCAAGCTCATCCTTAGACACCTGCAGGGAATGATGGACTCACTTATGTAGGTCTACACGTTTTTGTTTTTTTACAGAACCTCCTTTCCTGAGCTAATAACAACTACAATGTAAATACACTCTTTCAGAGCCAGTGTTATGGAAGTTCTTCAATGACAAAACTATTGACCCTGCACAAAAATAAAATACTTGTATCATCGAGGAATTGTGCTATCTAGCAATCCCAATATTTCCACAGGAAAATCTAAAGAGTGCTATAGCAATCCTTACCAAGCTACATAATAAAATGTAGTTCAGAACCAATGATATAAACCCACATCAAACAAACCCATCTCCTCTATAAGCTGATGTGTTAGGGATGTTCTGTCCCTTGTCAAGTGCCTCTGCGGAAATGGTTAATCCCCCAGAAGTGTGTTGTCCCCAACAGCCATTAAAATCTCAACAAAACAGACAATTTAAAGATAATAAACTTGAATAACTAATTTTCATTTATTGACAGAAATGCAATATAAAAATACATACTAGGGCTGTCTCCGACTAAGGATTTACATCATCAGGCTACAGACGAATCAGAATCGTCAAGTCCTGCCTATAGTCGACAAATCGTGTGTTTTTTTGTGCGTGGCGATTGCGAGTGGGGGGGGGGGGGTTACACACGCTTTAATCTTGAGAAACTGCAGAGCTGCAGACTCTTTTCATTCAACTTACACTGTAAATTTCCAGCTAAACTGAGGCGCTCTCTCTCTCTCTCTCGCCTGCCATATCCCGGTCTTGTGCAGAGTTTTACGTGCATTATCGCTGCTGACAACTGCATGCACGTCGCGGATCCATTGCAAGTAGCCAGCTATTTAAAAACGATAAAATATTCTTTATGTGATCAACGGTCATAAATTATCAGAAAGTCCCGTGAGGTGCAGACAACTCTACACAACTCCATCTCTTCAGCAAGTTCTCATCTGCCACTGCACACATACACGCTACGCCTACACATGCGCACTGACGACCCAGGGTTAGGGTTCCAATTTTGGATTTGCACTTCAAAAACATTTATTGAAAGTTTTACTCTTTTTACATGTTTATTTACAGCATTAAACGTTGAAATGTATATTGTAATAGGCTGTATATTAACTTATTGGGAGAAAACTAGGAGTTCTATGTAAAATCAGACATTGAGCACCCCCATATCGCTAAAATGTCATGATCCTTGTGTGTAATTTTTAACGTTATTCTCCAAATGTGTCTCTCCAAATCCTGTGTGAGTAAAAAGCACATTTTGATTATTTAATTTATGCAATGGTAAAAAAAAAAACAACAACTGCAAAATAAATGGGAAAATGTGAATGTAGCCTACTTGTTCGGTATTCAGCATATTGATTATATTCGGCTTCGGAAAGAATTTTCATTTCGGTGCATCCTTAAAATAATGACATATTATAATAGTCAGCGAGTTATTAAAGGGTAACTACACCCTCAAATTCTGCTTGAACCCTGTGGGGAACTCTGGTGTTGAGAATCACTAAGCTTGTCTATTAAGCCTAGTTGACACTAGCCTGATTTGCCGGTCGGCGAGCTTGGCGACCTATTCATCAAAACGGCTCCCCGACACATCACTGACACATCACAATGCCAGCCAGATATCTAGCATGCCAAATATCTGGAGAAATCTTCCGACTCGACATCCACATCCAGCCAATGAGAGCAGGCAGCTGGCAGAGCAGACGGCTACTTTTTCACTGCAAAAAACTTTTTACTCTCCTCCTTTGGATGAGGGACGAAACGTCTTCCAGTATCTTCAACCAAGTCCAGTTGCCCTTGATTTTAACCTTCGTTGGATAACTATGACCTGGATGACTGAGAATCTTCATAGATCTTCACTCTCCTCCAGCTCTCTCTGTAGCTCAGACAATCCCTGCTATCTGCGTGTGCTAATCCATCCTTTCACCCATATTCTTTGTCTTTATAATTGCTATCTTTACAATAAACAACAGCTGTTTCGTGTGTAGGTTTGCATCATTTCCAGTTTCACATTTCACGTGTTTTCTTGACAAAATGTGGTTTGGAGACCAGCAGTCAGGTGAAAGAGCCGCTCTCAGCTCGCGTAGTGTGTGACCCCCTGTCATCGATCAGTCACGTAGTGTGAACGCCACAACGACTTCAAACTTCCCATCTTAACACGGCAAGTTGTGTAGTCTGTACAGAATAGCCATCGGCCGACGCTGACAGTCATGTAGTCTGCACAAGCCTTTAGACCTAAGAGGCGTCACTTGGTTTTATTTTTGTTGGCCAACTTTAGAATTGAACCTGGGATTCAGAAATTGAGATTTTTCTTGAGATATGTAGTCTTGCGGAGATTTAAACTGAGATAAGGACTCAGTAATCAGTGGTTGAACTGTGGATTTTGTATTGAGCTCTTACTGTATAATACACATGGGAACTTGTGTTTCTTGGCGTCTATAGGTACGTATAATAACTTGATACTTCTTTTCCACCATTGCTCATAAAGCATCCTATTTTACTCAATCCCTTTCTAACCTCCTTTCTTCTTATCATGTCTGACATCTACAGTAATCAATCAATCTTCAATTGAATTACCTGGTTGTTAAGTAAGGTGGAGTGATTGTCTTGTACTAAAAGAAATAGGTCCTTTGGTGCATGCAAACATGCATATAGAATGTTTTTGTGTAAATAGATTGAACATTTAATTACATTATTACCTTAAATGATGCCTAAATGAGATCAGTGTTATTCCTTTATTTAGTGCATACGTTTCAAAAGTGGCAGATAAAAGAAATTCAGTGTCAAAGAGGAACAGTACATCATTTATTAAAAAAATATTTGCATTGCAAAAAAAAATCACAATTAGATTAGATCGTTCAGCCCTACCACATAACATATTAAGCCAGGGGTCAGGGGACACAGCGGAGAATTGGCTGACCACCGCTCAATGTTAACATAGACAGCAACATAGAGCTAGTAGACAGAGCTAACCAGCCATGAGAAGCTACTGTCAGACTCTGTTTCTCCACTGGAAAGACAGGGAACCAAGTGGAGCTTTGACAGTCACTAGAAGCACATTTATGGCCCTTTGAGAGAGTAATTGTGTGGGTACCTGTGTTGTAGCTGGGCTAGCAGCTGTACTACGAGAGGCTCTTTAGTGTGTCAGCTGTAGCCATACAGTTAACGTTGTGGTTAGTCAGCCTTAAATGTGTTATAAAGCTCAACAGTTATCAGCCGGCCCATTAGTTGTGTTTACTGCCACTGCAGAGGAATTCATCTTGTTGTACAATGTGGTTTTTCCACCAGCGCTTATTAGGCTTGCCATTACTAATGCAACTAGCAGTTTGCATCTGCTGGCAGCCGCTACTACAGGCAACATAGATAATAGACCTCAGAGCCTTGCAATTACGTCACGGTTAGGGAGGGGCCTGAGAATTCGCGTGTAGCTGAAGGCTACAGCCAAATATTTGCCTTGTTTCCATTTTGGATGTATGGCTTTTTGGCTGCAAGGGTTCGGCTGCGGTCAAAAAAATAAATAAATAAAAAATCTCCTTCCTTTTCCTTGACCTCGATGGAAAAGGTCATGAGCTCACTTTGATTATTTTACAAGACTAGTAACAACATGCATATGGGTCTCAGTTATTGTTGACAGTCCAAGACATATGCATATTAGCGTGTTATAGCATAAGAGAGAAAAGGCTTAATTGCCAATGGTAACTTACATGGTGATCGATGTCCTTTACCTGTCATGGTCCATGATTTTATTTTTAATTTTTTGTACAAAATTCAAATACTACACTTATTTCACATATTTCCACAATCCAAACATTAGATTACAGCAAAGCCAAAAGAAATCAAACCAAAAGAAAGACATTGTGAATGAAATTGTGAGTGTCTTATTCAAGTATCATATCATGTGCATCTGTATTGCAAGGATTTTGCTAAATGTGGTCGATGGATTTTATCGTTTGAGTTTAAGAATGTGCGGCGCTTTAAATGTTGAGGCCACAAGGAATTGTGGGACGGCATTATCTCCTTTCCTTTCGTATAGGATGGTCCGGTGTACCCTATGCTAAAGGAGATAAGAAAGGAAGTACCGAAACACCTTTTGTTAGCTTTTAGAGAATTCAACCAGTTCTTATCATGGCTACCACTTCAATACTTGTCACTTGAGTCTCTTCACTCAGTTAGGAACCTTCCTAAGCAAAAAAAGACTTTTTAACCGCAGCCTTACATTAAGGACACTTCTGACCAGACTTCTCCAATACTAGATGGGTTTACCAGGGTCCCACTGCCAGTTCTGAGCTGATGGCATTGCCTTTCATCTGCCGCAGTAAGTTTCCATGGCCGGCCACTGCGTCTACAATCCTTAATGTTGCTGGTTTCTTTGCGCTTCTTCAAAAGAGCTTGGACAGCCCATCTGGAAACCCCTGTCTGCCATGAAATGTCTGCCTGGGAGAGACATTTCTGATGCAGTATAACTTGTGTCTTGTTGCTGTGCTCAGTCTTACCTAGATGAATTGATGCTGTTTTGAAAGCAAAGGATGATGACACCAAATATTGGATTTAGATTTTTCTTCTGTTCACTCACTTTGTTGTATAATATACATATACAGACATATCATGGGAGGTGTATAAGTATTTTGCCTTAAGAACTTCCTCAAGATTATATGTGTTTATATTTTCATCAAGTCCACGCTTTCATTATGTTAAAATGTGCTTAGATGCTTGTCATGTTTTTCTGTCCTTGTTCTGCAGTTGGCATCGTCTTCCTGCAGTACTAAATAATTTTGACTTAAGTGACTGTTGTTTTACAGGCCACTGGCAATACTTTTGGCGTTTATGAACTTCCATACAAATTACCCCCACTACCACACGTTGCATTCGCCTCACTGCAATAATCACTACACGTTTTTAAATGGCCACTTAAATTCAGTAAGGGAAAGCAGAGATACATAACTTGAGAAACAAAGTTTACACGCAACACTGTAGCTCTGCGTCAAATGGTTTTCATCCTACAAAAATGACCGCTGTAACAAAGAGCTGTATCTGGTCTTCAGAGTAGTAAACAGCTCTTTCTTCTCTTGCCCTCTTCAGTACAAACAAACACTGGATTGCGAAGAGCTACCTCTCGCATCCGTGACTTTGTTTTGACAGGCTATGCGACAGTCAGCTAGCTGCTCGTCACACAGGCTGAGCCACAAAGAGAAAACCGCATCTACAATATCTCGGACAAATACTTTATGTTCTCACAGCGCACCAATTTAAGTTGAGGTGACTCTAGCCAACCCTTTCACAGTTTAGTATTCAGTCCCTGCAGCGGTTTATACCTTCACAGCGACCCACGACAGCGACACATAGCTGAGTGATGACCACACCTGGCTACGGCGTATCCCTGCGCACAGCAAACTGCACAGCAGGCTGCAACACCTACCTCAGGACGACGACTCATGTCCTCAAGCTTGTCATTGCACTTGACACCGTTGCTCGTCTTCCCCTCTCTTAGACTGTCGCCATTTTGCTTTAAAATCACGCAGGTTGCACTCTCGACCAGAGGAGAAGGATGTTCACGGCGGAGGTAGAGAAATGAGCGTCACCCTGACTGCACACCGACCCCCTTATGTCCAGTTTGGCTCCCCGCCTGTCCGACGAAACGATACATTTGGACCAGCTCACCTTAATAACTAACCTACAATACTAGAGCGACATTATATATATATATAATATGTACCCAAATTTGAAACTGAAGAACAGAATGTGATGACAAAACATGTTTTAAAGTTTGGGTATACCTAGCGCATGACCTTGAACTGACTGCTGCTTTATATTATATCAAAACATTTAGCCTTTCTGACAGAGACACATACTTAGTGTAATCACTGTCATAGTGGTAAACAGACAAAAAATATATTTATTATACAAATAAAATAGGCCTACTATTGCAACCCACATTACTGTAAACAGGGAACATTTTGGCTTGAGTGTATAGTTGCTCTGTTGCTCTCTTCTGGGTTTAACAAACCACAAGAGTGCCATCCACAGTTTAACAAGAAGTTGGACTACAAGCCGGACCGGACAGAAATGGTTAAAAATGTCTTATGTGACCATGAACTACATTTGAAAATGGTTGTAATGAAAGTTTCACTGGTGAATATATGCTAGTGTTGTATATTTAATGTTCAATTGCTCGTGTACAAGTAAAGCAGTGAGCTTTAACCCTCATTTAAATTGTAGGATAATGATGCAGAATACATGCTGAAAATGCATTATTAATGGTGTTGCATGTTTTTCCTTGACTTTTCCCTTTTCCCCATGATTCCACAGGAAAACCATCAGGCATTTCAAACCTCATGAGTCAGGGGGGTGGAAATCATTTATATTTATAATGTCCATCATGTTATCATTGATGTGTTTTTAAAGCAGGTGCTTTGCAATGATCATTTCTTTTAATGTTGCTGGTAGTTGCTTTGAACCCTAACCCTAATCCTAACCCTTACTTAACATGCTTCCCATCGAACTATCCGGGAAAACAAGCTTTCTGGATAACTTCATTTCTGATTGTCCCTTTCATAATTTTATAAGACATCTAAAATATGTGGATCATGATTGGATGATTGTTTTTTATCAAAGGTTAAATTAACTGGAAACTGGAAGCCTGATGCATTGAATTACATTGCAATTAAATGCAACTATATACCTTGTTATTATTATTCTGCATAAAACACAATAAGGTGAAAGCAGATATTCCTAACCATAACAGACTTTTATTGTGTATATGTCTTTGTTTGTCGCACTGAGAAAAACATAGTCTGTGTGTGGTGTCTGCAGTGGTTGATTGGAGTGGTAATTCTCAAATTCATAGACATATAAAATATTGATTGGATTAAGCAAACAACTAACACATCTTTGAATGTACATTGCTCCAGTGATTGCTATTATCAACAAGAAATAATCTGCAGACAACAAAAATGTCTCAAAATCTCTTGAATATTTATAAAGTGGGTAAAATATGACTTATTTATTTTTGCTAAATTATTAAATGTGTGGAATGCAGATCATTAATCATTAATATTAAAATATTGAGAAACTGTAAGACATAAATATTTGTGCATAAATATTTATCTTCTCCGTGCCAGTGTGTATTAACTCCAGGTTTAGTTCCTTATTCAACAGAGATATATTTCTTTCAAAGCTATTTCCAAGTCACTTACTATATTTGTGCTTGCCTCACTGATCTCAACTTATCACCGTACCCACCTAGATGGCAGAAAACACAAAGCAATTCCAAGGACTGTGTTGTCTTTTTGTGTGAGATATAGGGATTGACACAAACCCTCTGTTTTCAGAGCATGAAGTAATTCTTTTAATGGCCTGCCAACTGTGCATTCCAAAGTTTGATTTTGCGGTGCAAAATGAGAGCAAAAATCTCGAACAATTTATTATGCTGTTTGTGCCTCGCTTCACTAGTTATCGTCTGCAATTTATTTCCTACCTTGGGGTACTGCAAGCCATTTTTCTCCATTTTCAGTGGCTCACTTTTTTTTCTTGATCCTGCACGCTGCTGACTAAACTCCTGCCTCCAGCTATGGTGTTGGAACATCACAGAAAACTACATCATTATACTGAAGCTAGTTAACAAAGAGAGGCAGAGAACCAGTTTAAATCACAGGGCACAAGACAGTGTGAGGAATTACTGAGTTCACTAACTCAGATGTAGCAATTCATAGCCTCTCTCTCTCCAGTCGCACAGGTGAAACGGCTCACTAACGAAGACTTTATCGGACTTCGGTTTGAATTCAAGGTCAGCACCTGACCACTCTTCACTATTCAAAATTATTTTTTTCTATTATAAATTAACTGCACTAGCTGAGCACTTTTTTATTAATACATTATTTACACCTGTGCTTTTGCTACTGTGACATGTCAGCATTTCTTACCAGAAAAAAAGCCTGATACTTTCTGTAAAAACATGATTTATCTGTCACTTAAAAAGATGACAGAAAATTTTTCTTTCAAAAGCAAATAATCCCTAAGCATATCAAGTCACCTGTGGTCATAGACTTTAAAGTCAGCAGAGGAGTGTTGCCCAATGCTACCCTATATAAAACACACAAGATGCAGCTATTCCAGATGACAGGCCGAGTTTAATCTGTGAAATAGTGTATTCTAAACCTAGCAAAGAACTAGTACATTTTAGAGACCACCACTGCGAAAATATAAACAGTCTATTATGAGTAAAAGTAGATAAGTATCAGCAAAATGTATTTAAATTATTAATTATGCAGGAGAATGCCCCCTGCCCCCTGTCAGTGTTGTAATAATATGTATCATATTATTTGATGATTATTTATGCATTATGTATGTTTGTACAGTAAGCAGCATTTCAGTATTGTAGCTGGTTGTGAGGGAGTGAATTGTAACAAATGTTTGTATGTTATGTTGTAATTTTATCTTTAACAATGCATCATAGTTTAGAAATGGTTTTGTATGTAGAATCATAACCTGCGAAGTAACTAAAACTGTCGAATAAATGTAATGGTGTAAAAAGTACAATATTTCCCTTTGAGATGTAGCAAAGTAGAAGTATAAAGAATTATAAAAATGCAAAATTGAACTTTGGTATGGTATATTTATACAGTATTTTACCACTGAAGTCCTTACCAAGATAAGAAAAATATAGTACTTTATTTCTACAGTATTGGTTTTGGTTTAAAACCAAATCAATATATTGTTGCTATAATCACATGCTAATGATCATAAATTCAAAATAACTCAATTTTGTGTATTCAAATGGTAGCCTATAGATTCTTGAAGTGGTTCTCCAGTTAGTAATGTGGTAAGTATTGAAAAGAGTATTGTTAAAATCAAACCAGCAAAGGTCCACTCTTAAAATATACTGACTTTTGGGTCTCACTTCCTGGTACATGCTCCTGGTTTTCAAACACCACACACCCAGTTTGTAACGTGCAAATCTGTAGTGTCCAAGCCCACACAGAAATAACCATGATGATGTTATCAAGGTTTTTTCTCAGACTTGTTAAAGCTCCACCAGACATTAAGCTTGTTGAGTAGTACTCCATCCACCCCATCTTCTTTTCATCCTTGCAGTAGTATAAAAGCACCACAAGGTGGCAGATGGAGGCCTGCTGTGTCCATTCCTGGTATGCCTTTTGAAATCAGTCTTATTAACTACCATTAAATCAAAGCTCACAAATTGTATTTTGATATGCAAAACGATTTTTAAACGCATATTATATGCTGTTTTAATCCTTAATATCAGTAAATATGGCATATTAGGCCTTTTAATATTCTTAAGAGATTATCAGGCACTCATTGCCTGTGTGCTTATGCAGGGTTTCAGCATTATCAAATATTAATTCTTCTAAACTTGCTCTTTTAAGAGGACTTCTTTGATGTTGATGTAATTTTTCATCGGCTAAGCAGATCTGTGGTATCTTTTGGAGAGCAGTGGACCATAATTCATTGATGAGCCATGTGGAGCGCAGATATGCACATCCTAATGCTTATGCAAGATCTTAAACAGTTCTCAGTTGTGGAATGGATATAACAGAGTAGTATGGTGCTGGGCTGCTGGCCTCACTGGGGTGGCAGACTGAAAGGGCTAAGTAGGGGGGCGAGGACTAAACTAATCTGTGTGAACTTTGTATTCATTTAAAATGCTTAAGAATCAACCAGCAAAGTCTGCGTAGACATTAGAATAGATTGGAAGACATCAGGGCTTCACAGGAAAAAGCTTTGCAAGCCTCCTTTCCAAACAGCTGAAGGTCAACATAATTTAAAAAACAGTTTTTTGTCACCACTATGAAATAAACAAGCAGCACTACTTTGATTCCAGTCATGTCTATTTGGCACAGAAAAAAACCCAGGAAGAATATTACAGAGGCAATTATGGCAAGACAGAAAGTTTAAGGTTATCATTATTAAATTATTCATTTTTGACAATGTTGGCCCTTGGAGTCTGGGAATTGATCTTTCTGTAAACACGCTAAAGCAAGCGAGATTGACATAAACTGCAAAGACGAAGCCATCTTTTGAGCACTCTGCTTTCTCTTTCATGTTGCCTCACTGTGCGGGCTGAACACTGCTAATGAAAAATGGGAAGACCTTGGGCAAGTAACACAGACTGATTAGTTTTGTACACTGGAGACGAGAAGTGCTTTGGAGTCTGCGATGATATTTGTTTTCTTTTCACAACATATCTGAGGAAGAGAAGTAAAGAGAATGCTTAAAGTTTCACCGATGTGTTTGTTCTCTTCAAAGCAAGAGAAAAATCTTGTGAGTCTGTGTCAGATGTTGTATGAGCATGCTCATTATTTCAATAAGTCTATTTGGCCTCCCGTGATTGCTCTATAAAGAGAATAGTGGATGACCCTGGCTCTGTTGTTAAGTTAATGCTTTTGCACAAAAAAATAGAAGATGCTGCTTTGGGTAAGAGTGAGGTTATGGTGGGATCCCCCCATCCGCCTTGTTATCATGGGCCGCTGGCTCAGATAGACCAGATGAGTCCTTCACAGAATGTGGCCCTTTGGAACATGCTAGTCTGCTTGAGTTAGTAATCACAAAAGACAAATAAGGCCAGTGTGGGCCCTCTTGTAAAGTTTTTCACTAATGGGATAATTGATTGACAGTCTTTGAGCTTTCATGCAGCTGGATTATTTACAGTTGCACTTGCATGCTGTAA